CTCTCTCTCTCTCTCTCTCTCTCTCTCTCTCTCTCTCTCTCTCTCTCTCTCTCTCTCTCTCTCTCTCTCTCTCTCTCATGACGAGGCAGAGGCAGAGCAGCGAGGCTGGGAGAGGGAGAGTGAGGGCACACACACACGCTCACTCAACTCGACGCAGACCCAACACGACTCGACGGACGCAGACACAAAGTTGCAAAGTCGCAGTCTTGAATTCCCGAATGCAATGTCGAAGAAAAGTCATGCTGAACACAAGCACTGAGGCTGAAAACCTGGTGCCTGTACTGGGCTTGAGTCCGGTGTAGGGCCCCAACCTGTTAGACTTTCGAGCCTAAGTCGACCCTTTTACGGGTCCCAGGTGTCTCGGCTCTGCCCATTCTCATGGTCAGGGCGCCGAGCCATTTGTCACAGAGTTACCCCACCTAGTGGTTTGAGATGGATGGGGGTGGGCCAAAGAGCGAGAGAGCTTTGACATTAGGGATGTAGCTCAACTTTCTCGCAAGGTGGGTAATCTTGTTGGTCCTGTTGCTACCGTTCATTCTTTGATGCCTTGTAGTGTTCTCAAGCAACTGCTTTTTCCAATACTCGGGCGGCGAAATGTTTACAACCCATTTAGATTTCGTCCCCTTTTCTCTGCCCGGCCTACCTGGGCGCTATCGAGCTGAAGGCATTTTAAGGGCTACTCACATGCACACTCAAATGCATATAGACAAGCACAATCCCCATTCGGGGTCAACAGATAATCCCTCCCGCATGCTTATTATCTTTCTCTCTTGGTTGCTTGCTTGTCTTTTCCTTCACTACGTCCACCCCATCCTCTCCTCATTCTCATGCAGTCGGGTTGTTGGTCGAGTCCACTGACCTTTCTTTCTTTCAATGAGTCTTTTCAATCCTTGGGTCCTTGCCAATCCTCAAGTCCTTGTCAATCCTTCAATCCTTTGTGCTTACAAATCTTTCCCAATCTCAAACATTTTTGCTTCTTGGTGGCACAAGGGGCCGACAGCCCTCCTCTTGCCCTCTCTTTCCACAAAGTGAGGCAAGAGTTTTTTCACCATTTGTCCCTTGGCCATGTGACAAGTGAGTGGGGAAGGGTTAGCCGCATGCCCAGAGGGTTAAGGATAGTCTTTAGAGCACGGGAGGGGTAGATGGAGGGAGTCGGCAAAGAAGGGAGAGAGAGAAAGGGCGAAAAGGGGATATATATATATATAGAGAGAGAGAGAGTGTGTTGCATGCTGCGCCTGCACACGGGCCCCATTTGAGGGGCCCGACGGTTGCCGAGGGGCCCCCAGGCCGCGTACCATACAGCACGTGCCTTGGAGGCCCACGGCGGCCCTTCAGGCCCTAGGTAGCACACTAGTTAGATAGGTTTAGTTTACTTACCTTTTTGTGTGTGTGTGCTGTCTTACTTTGTCTGTTCAGGTGCCGTTTTGGACTTGCAGCCCCAAGGCCACACCTTGGGACTGGGTACACCGGAGGCAGGCCCAAAACGAGGCCAGGCGCATTTTGGCGCCAGACCGGTAGGTATAGGCGTCGTTTCGGTCCTACAGGTCCCAAGGCGACGGCTTGGGCTAGGTGCACATGTATCGGGCTGTTTTTAGGCCAGGTGCATTTTTGCGCCTTGCTGCATCAGCAACGTGGTCTGGATGTCCGGTAGGGACCCAGACCAGCTGGGCCGTTTCCTGAGGCCAGCATCAGGTAGGCCCAGCCCGCCCAGCGCTACAAATAGTTGGGCAGCGGCTAGGCAAGGGACAGTTCGAGTAGCTCACTTCTTGAGCGACACGCTGCTGGTTGGAGGCAGCATTATTCTGCGCTAAGCTACGGAGTAGGGATTAGTGGCGTAGGTAGTTGAGAGAGGCAGAGGCCTTACCTGCAAGCGGAGAGCTTGGCGCCATAGCCGGGCTCCACGCGGTACCTGCACATGACGACGACCACAGTCAGTACGATGACAACTACCTGCAGGTGAGATAGCAAGGAGGACGTCATCTTCTTCTTCTTCCTTCTCCATCTCTCTCTCTCTTCCTTCTTCTTCTCCCTCCTTCCTCCTCCTTCTCATCTTCTTCTTCACCTACGAGAGTGAGAGAGGTTATCGGTAGGAGATACAGGCAGAGGTTATGTTGGGCACATTGCCCAGGATCTGATTCGACGTTTCTGGGACAGACATTGATTAGACACTCGGCAAGGGACTATTTTTGGGACTTCGCTATCGCGATCTTGGTCTACTCCCTCGCCTCCACCTTCGTCTTGTCCCTTCCCCCCATCTCTCATCCGCTCTTTAAAGTTTTCCGCTGCACCACTTTGCGCCATCTTGTATGTATCGGAATGTACATTGCTTGTTGATGCTACGCTGACCTTGCATTGTCCATTTCAGTCCTTTTCATCACATTGCGGATCCTTGGCTCCCTACACATTGTCCCATTGGGCATGCGTCAGTTTGATATCGGAGCACTGCTTATGAATCAGGACAACCTGATCTGACACAAGCGCGGGGACAATCCAAAGATTGATTGATTGATTGATTAGATTACACTAATTGGTCCCAAAAATCGCGGATTTTGACCTAACTGCGGAAATCGGATTTTTTTTTTCTTGGATTTCATTTTCCTGCTATTCTCATTCGTGGAAAATCGCAATAGCGTAGCATCTGAAATTTTCGTTTTTCTTTTTATGAAATTCGAAATTCCGGTTCTGGAGGTCCGAAAATATTACAATTTTTTTTTCGATTCATCTTTTCCTTCGCAATTCCCCGTTAATTCGAAATTCCGAATTTTTTTTCCTGAAATTCATTATTCGAACTTATTTTCGAAAATCTTTTTGCGTTCTTTTATTATTCACGCATTCCGGGGGTAACGAAAATTTTGAAATTTGACCGTTATTCCCAGATTCGGAAACTATTTTTTTACGGGAAATTCCTCTGCAGTCATTTGTTTTCAAATTGCGCATACTCTCACTTGAGAAATTCCGAATTTTTTAATATTTCGGAATTCTCCGAACTTGTGGATTTTTTTTTTTTTCACAGTTCAGTTACTTGGATCATCTCCATTTGTTATTATTTTCTTTGCATCGACAGTCTGAAATTCAATTTTTTTTTCGAATTACCTGTTGTGGGGAAACATAGGAGACCTACCGAACTTGCAATCGAGAAACTTTATTAATAATTATTTGATTTATTTTTTATTTTCTCGAAATTTTTGCAAAGTTCCAACTTTTCATTTTTTGAATAGTGGCTCCTTATCTGGGCGATCCACTCGATTCCCCCACTCCCCACCTCTCCCTCCCAACTCCTCTTCTTCTTGCTCAACTGCCCATCAGTTCTGGCTACAGCCTTGGTAAGTCCGTACTTTTGCAGGCCACAGCTACCCGCGACGCATGACCCTACTCACTCGTTCACAGACAGCAGGGATGGATCAGAAAGCCAACGAGACTGACGAAGCCTATGAGGCACAGTTGGCGGCCATCATGACCGAAAGCAAGCAACGGGCAGAAGCATCAGCAGCAGCACGGAAGAATAGGGAGGCAGAGGCAGAGAGGCTGCGTCAGATCGCCGAAGATCAACGGCAGAAGCACGCAGCAGCAGCAGCAAAGGCCGCCGATGAAGAACGCATACGGCGGCGGGAGATTCTCTTCAGGGAGGAAACTGCATTACACGCACAGGCCGGGGATTGGCAGAAGCAGACCGAGAATGGAGACTTCGTTGACTACGGGACAAGGATTGCTCTCTTGCTCAACCGCGTCACGGACCTCCTCACTACTTGCATTGCACAACAGGAGGACATTCACTCTCTCGACCACGCCAATCAGGCGCTGACTAAGCGCATATAGCAGCTGGAGAAGCGACCCGTCGCCACTTCCAGCGCTGGCCCCTCCGACCTCGTCGATCGCGTCAACGTCTTGGAGATAGACGTGGGAACACTCAAGACCGAGACACAACGACTGGATCAGCTGGTGGGGGCAGCAGCCGCACCTAGCTCAGCGCCACGCGAGAGCATTCCCAAATTTGAGGGGCTCCTGATCTTCTGTGATGCATCGAAGACAGACCCTATACCTTGGTGGCGCCAATTCGAACTAAAGTTGGACATCCACCAGGTCGTCAACAAGAACCGGCACACATACTTGTACTCCCGGTCAGGAGGTGTGTGTCAGGCACATGGCTGGACAACATGTTGTCCGCACATGCATGCACAGTCTCCGAGTTACACAACTTCATCACCTGGGCCGATCTCACGATGGCATGGAAGAAACGTTTCCAAGTGGAACCGCCCGAGCATCAGGCGATGGACAAGCTGCTGACATTCGCACAGAACAGCATGCCAAGCGGAGACTAGATATCTGAGTTCCAACGCCTGGCAAGCACACCCAAGTTGCCGATGAACTTCGACGGCATCAAGCTCTATTTCATCAAGAGGTCATGCCCAGCGTTGCAAAATGTGTTAACTCAGGTCCCTGAGAACCTCAACACAAGTGAGGAACTCTTCAACAAGGCCGCGCAGATCATTGTGACGAACTTGGAAGCCAAAAACATTGGTCGTTCGTCGACTGCCGGCCAGGGCGCGTATCAGCATCGACCGAAAGTGGTCGTGGTCGCGGCAGCAACGCCAAGCGACCCTTCAACTTCAAACGAGGTTGCCTTGTCTGACGAGGGAGACAGATTAGCAGCTGCCTAGAATGGTGACCGCCCCGCCAAAGGACGAGGACGTGGCAAAACGAAGACAAACACCACTTCTTCTGGGCCCGGACGAGCAACTCCAGCTCAAGAACCTTGGACACAATATGGTCTGACGAAGCGCGGGTATCGCATCCGCACCAAGTACCGTTATTGTTTGTGGTGCAACTGCGCGACACATGAGACCGTGAACTGTCCCACGAAAGCCAAGGGCCCCGCTCAGTCGGGAAAGTGAGCACCGCCGAGAGTGATGCGACGACACTCTCGACGCCTTCGGAACTGGTTGTAACCTCCCTCGGTTCCAGGACACATGCGAAAGTCGTAAGTCCTCCCATTCTTCATTATTTCAAGGACTATGCTGCCCGGCTCGTACCTTCGCTGAATTCACGAGCCCAAGGACAGGATGTATGTGCGGTTTCTTCTCCGTTTGGAAGCAGCGGCATTGAGTCGTCTTCAAGTGGACCTTCACGGGATTCGGCGCGTGTGTTCAACATAGAAGACTTGGACCTGTTGACGCCCGAGGATTTTGCATGGCTCCCTCTCCCTTCCACCGGCTGCTTACCGGAGCCGCAATGCGCAACTCTTAGCGCTCATCTACATACATACCTAGCCTTCTATGCACCACCAACTTCGCCGACGGAGGACGAAGTCGCGGTGGGGGACATTCTTGCATATGTTAGCAAGGTGGCCCGCGAGTTTCGCACGCAGCGGTACGACGACAACAATGCACCCCTCCTTTATGTCCGCATCCAAGTTGGGCAAGTGTCCTGCAGCGCTTTGCTGGATAGCGGCGCAACTCGCAACTTCATAAGCCACTCCTTTATGCAAAGGGTCGGCCTTGGCCCACAAGTTCGAAGGAAGGCACACCCTATGGCGATCAAGTTGGTGGACGGTAGGACGCAACAACTCCTTGACCGCTACATCGAGGCCGTACCGGTCTATTTCGCACCTCATGCATGCGAACCGGTGATGTTTGACGTCTTGGACACGGACTTCGACATCGTTTTGGGCATGCCTTGGCTTGCAAGTGCGGATCACACGGTCAACTTCCATCGGCGGACACTTACGGTCCGCGACGCGTTTGGCGCCGAAGTACCATGTACCATCCCTCTTCCGCACCCTTCGATCCGGTGCCAAGTTGTAACGACCAAATTTTTTCGGGTCACTTGCTCTTATGAGCGGGCCGACGAGATAGGCCTATGTTTTCTTCGAACCGTCGCGGCAGCCGAATCTCAACCCACGGACTTGTCTTCGAACCCCTGGGTGGTACGGTTGCTTGACGAATTCGCTGACATCTTCGAGTCACCTACCGGCATGGTGCCGGATCGGTCGATCTCCCACGAGGTCATTCTCGAGGCTGGTGTCGTGCCGCCGAAAGGTTGCATCTATCGCATGAGCAAGGAGGAACTTACAGTACTCCGCGCGCAGCTCGATGATTTGTTGGACAAAGGCTGGATCCGGCCTAGTAGCTCACCCTATGGTGTACCGGTTCTCTTCGTGCGGAAGAAGAACGAGGATCTTCGCCTATGCATCGATTACCGCAAGCTCGATGCACAAACCGTCAAGAACGTGGGACCTCTTCCTCATATTGACGACCTTCTGGAGCGTTTGGGCGGCGCAAATTTTTTTCCCAAGTTGGATTTGAAGTCGGGGTATCATCAGATTTGGATACGCCCGCAAGATCGCTACAAGACTGCGTTTAAGACACGGTACGGGCATTTTGAGTGGGTCGTCATGCCTTTCGGACTCACCAACGCCCCAACAACTTTTCAAGTGGCGATGACCAATGAGTTCCGTGCAATGCTAGACCGGTTCGTGCTGGTCTACTTGGACGACATCCTCGTCTATAGCCGGACCTTGGAGGAACATCTCGAGCATCTTGGACGAGTGTTGGAGATGCTCCGTCGCGCCAAGTACAAAGCCAACCACGACAAGTGTGAATTCGTACGTCAAGAGTTGGAATACTTGGGCCATTTCGTCACTCCACAAGGCATCAGTCCGTTGTCGGACAAGATTCAAGCCATCCAAGATTGGCCGGAGCCGCGGAACATCACGGATGTCCGTTCGTTCCTTGGCCTTGCCAGCTACTACCAACGTTTCATCAAAGGGTACTCGAAGATCGCGACTCACTTATACAAGCTTCAGTGCGAGGACCGGCCATTTGACTTTGGGACGGATGCGCGGGAATCATTTTTGGCCCTCAAGGCCGCATTGCTGTCTGCGGAAGTCTTGCGCATATACGACCCGCTATTGCCAACGCGCGTCACCACAGATGCGCCCGGCTATGGCATCGATGCTGTCCTCGAACAACATGATGGCGTGGACTGGCACCCGGTCAAATACTTCAGCAAGAAAGTGTCGGTCGTGCACTCAATCGATGATGCACGCAAGAAGGAACTTCTCGCCTTCGTCCACGCACTCAAGCGGTGATGGCACTTCCTGCTTGGTCGACGCCAATTGCGATGGGTAACGGATAACAATCCGTTGATCTTCTACAAGACCCAAGACACCGTCAACAACACGATCGCCCGTTGGATGGCTTTCATCGACCAGTTCGACTTCTTTCCCGATCATATCCCGGGGAAGTCAAACCGTTTTGCGGATGCTCTTTCACGGCGTCCGGATCACTGCACCGTCGTCTACTCGACCTTCGAGATAGAGGACGACTTGCGGGACAGTTTTATTCGCGGCTAACAAGCCGACCCCGAATTTCGCGACAAGTACGCAAATTGTTCCTCTCCCAATCCGGCGCCTTCGCACTACCAGATCCAAGAGGGATACTTGCTCGTTCGCTCGCGGGGGAAGGATCTACTTTGTGTGCCGCAAGACTCACACTTGGGCACAAGGCTTCTTGGCGAGTTCCACGACGCCCCCGCCACCGGACACTTTGGAGTCAATCGCACGATTGGCCGACTCCACGAGCGCTTTTGGTGGCCCGGTCTTCTTGAGGACGTCACGCGATATTGCGAGGCATGCGAGGTTTGCTGACATTGCAAATCCCGCAATCATCGTCCGTACGGCGAACTGCGACCATTACCAGTCCCCTTGCGCCGAAGGGAAGCGATTGCCATGGACATTACCGGGCCGTTCCCCAAGCACAAGACGGGTGTGGATGGGATTCTCACGGTAGTTGACCGACTCACCAAGTTTTCCATGTTTTTGCCTTGCCGCTATCACGCCAAGGCACCGGAGTTGGCCGAGGTTCTCTACGCCGGTTGGATTCGAACCAAGGGTTACCCCAAGGAGATCGTCTGYGACYGCGACACTYGGTTCATGTCYGATTTTTGGTTGGCGCTCATCAAACGATGGGGCTCATCCCTCAAGCCGAGTTCGGCTCGCCACCCCCAAACTGATGGCCAAACGGAGAGGGCACATCAGACCGCACAGGTCCTTATTCGCACTCTCATCTGTCCCGACCAAAAGGATTGGGTCGAGCGGATGCCGAATATCGAGTTGGCATACAACTCGTCCATCCATCCGGCTATCGAGATGTCACCCTTTGAGTTCGAGCATGGCTTGCCGGTCAATTCTCCGTTGGACACAATCATCCCACAGGCAGTCGAGAGCGACAACCATCTTCTCTTCATTCGTCGGATGCAAGAGCCTCTTGTCAAGGCATGCGACCAGATGTCAAAGACGCAGCAACGTATGCGCCAACAGGCCAACCGCCAGCGTCTTCCCTGCCCGTTCCGAGTCGGCGAGCTCGTATGGGTTTCCGCTGCGGAATTCAGCCTCGAACAAGATATCTCTCGCAAGCTCCTTCCGAAATGGATGGGGCCCTGGCCGATCATGGCACCCGCTGGGGACGCCCCAGAAGGACCTTCATTTATCATTCAGGTGCCCGCCCACTTGTCCGTCAACCCGTTCTTTCACTGTTCCAAGTTGGCTCTCTACACGCCAGCGGAGCTTGACGACTTTCCCGGCGACGATCGCAAGACCCACCCTCGATGGATGGTTTCCAAGAGGTTGGCAACATCATATCCCAGCGACGTTACGGCAACAGGCCGACTGAATTCTTGGTCCATTTTGCATATTGCACCCATAGAGCTAACAGATGGTTGACCCGTGCAGAACTTCAAGCAACAGCTCCCGATGTCCTCGCACGCTACGAACGCAAGTTGCAAGGCAAGCCGGCATCTTCGGCTCCACGCCGCACCCGGGTCCAAGTTCCACCTTCAGATCATCAGCTTCACCCTCGATCCGGCTGGACTTCATAAGGAGGGGGGGGTGTTGCATGCTGCGCCTGCACACGGGCCCCATTTGAGGGGCCCGACGGTTGCTGAGGGGCCCCCAGGCCACGTACCATACAGCACACGCCCAGGACGCCCACGGCGGCCCTTCAGGCCCTAGGTAGCACACTAGTTAGATAGGTTTAGTTTACTTACCTTTTTGTGTGTGTGTGTTGTCTTACTTTGTCTGTTCAAGTGTCGTTTTGGACTTGCAGCCCCGAGGCCGGACCTTGGGACGAGGTACACCGGAGGCAGGCCCGAAACGAGGCCAGGCGCATTTTGGCGCCAGACCGGTAGGTACAGGCGTCGTTAAGGTCCTACAAGTCCCAGCGCGACACCTTGGGCTAGGTGCACAGGTACCGGGCCGTTTTTAGGCCAGGCGCATTTCTGCGCCTTGCTGCATCAGCATCATGGTCTGGATGTCCGGTAGGGGCCCAGACCAGCTGGGCCGTTTCCTAAGGCCAGCATTAGGTAGGCCCAGCCCGCCCAGCGCTACAAATAGTTGGGCAGCGGCTGGACAAGGGACAGTTCGAGTAACTCACTTCTGGAGCGACACGCTGCTGGTTGGAGGCAGCGTTATTCTGCGCTAAGCTACGGAGTAGGGAGTAGTGGCGTAGGTAGTAGAGAGAGGCAGAGGCCTTACCTGCAAGCGACGAGCTTACCTGGCGCCATAGCCGGGCTCCACGCGGTACCTACACACGACGACGACCACAGTTAGTACGGTGACAGCTACCTGTAGGTGAGATAGCAAGGAGGACGTCATCTTCTTCTTCTTCCTCCTCCATCTCTCTCTCTTCCTTCTTCTTCTCCCTCCTTCCTCCTCCTTCTCATCTTCTTCTTCGCCTACGAGAGTGAGAGAGGTTATCGGTAGGAGATACAGGCAGAGGTTATGTTGGGCACATTGCCCAGGATCTGATTTGACGTTTCTGGGACAGACATTGATTGGACACTCTGCAAGGGAGTATTTTTGGAACTTCACTATCGCGATCTTGGTCTACTCCCTCGCCTCCTTCTCCTTTGTCTCGTCCCTTCCCCCCATCTCTCATCTGTGGCATCTCCCCATGTATGTGTGTGAAGGAGGGACCTTTCTTCTTGATTGCGGTCCCTCCTCCCCTCTCACATGTGTGATGTATGATGGATGTCGGGTCAGTCCAGATCAGATCAGACCTTCTCTTTAAACTTTTCCGCTGCGCCACTTTGTGCCATCTTGTATGTATCGGAATGTACATTGCTTGTTGATGCTACGCTGACCTTGCATTGCCCATTTCAGTCTTTTTCATCACATTGCGGATCCTTGGCTCCCTACGCATTGTCCCATTGGGCATGCGTCAGAGAGAGAGAAAGAGCGAGCAAGCGAGAGAGAGTGAGAGAGAAAAAGCGAGCAAGCGAGAGAGAGAGAGAGAGAGAGAGAGAGAGAGAGAGAGAGAGAGAGAGAGAGAGAGAGAGAGAGAGAGAGAGAGAGAGAGAGAG